TTTTGAAACCTGAGTACTTAGGTATAATGGTGGCAAGGACTCAGGGACTTTAGGACTCCAGGATTAAAACAATAAATTCCAAGTCATTAAATATCATAACTTTTTTTTTATAGCAGGTCATTAATCAACCAACATGTTTAGAGCTACTGGACACCAAACGGAAAATTGCAAACTTTTGTATATTTGAAAAGTATCTCATAATATTTTACAGTAATGATAACTTATTAAATACGAGGAATTAATTAGCTTCTAAATTTAGAAACATAAAAGCAAATTTCTTCTTTCAATGTTAGATTCAGGTGATAAGGTAGATGTTCTTAGTTTTTTTTAGTTTTTAATTTTTTTGTTTGTTTCTTTGTTTGTTTGATGTTATGACGATGGAGCACACTTCATTGTAGTTATATATTTTTACGGTTTTTTTATTTCTTGATTTTGTATTACATGGTCAATGATTCCCTTTAGGCATGAAATCATTAATACCATAATTTTTTTTTTTTTTGTTTATAAATTTATATATATATATATATATATATATATATATATATATATATATATATATATATATATATATATATATATATATATAGATGTGTGTGTATATATATATATACATATATATATATATATATATATATATATATATATATATATATATATATATATATATATATATATATATATATATATATATATATATATATATATATATATATATATATATGTATATATATATATATACATATATATATATATATATATATATATATATATATATATATATATATATATATATATATATATATACATATATATAATTATATACAGTAGCGCACAAAATTTTAGAAACACCAACTTTTTATCTGTTTTTACTGCATAACTTTTTACAAGCTTTCTTCAATAAGCTAGAATTTTAACCAAATGTGCTCTATAATTTTTCAATTAAGAACACAAATTACAAAAGCTGTAAAATTAACAGTTAATTAACTTTTAATTTTAAAAAAGCTTTTTTCATGACTATATAATATAATTTATATTATTTCTATATAATTTTGCCATAAAGAAAATATTTACAAAGTTAGACTTTAAAAACTGTATATACACGGCTGGGGCAAGAAGAAGACAAATTCAGTCTTTTCGCCAAGCCCCTTATAGCCCCTTAGCTTCAACGCATTAGCCCCTTAGCTTCAACGCAAAAGTTTAGAAACAGTATCATACCCTGCAATTAAATTATTTTCAACCAAAAAATTTGTGAAATTTAATAATATAATTACATTGAGGTATTTTAAAGTTAGCAAATTATAACTAATTGCTAAAGTATTTGTAATTTTATAACTGAATTACTTAGCAATATTTTAAAAGCATGGGAGAAGCTTAGGAAGTTTAAAAGGAATTAAAGGAATTAATTGTAAAAGCTGTGGGATATAAAACAACTTACAGGCAGATTTCTGAACTTTACGATGTTTCTGAATCAGAAATAAGTCACATTATGAAAAGATTTTAAGAATATTCAAATAAAAAACATTGAATAAACATATTTACTATTATTTTAATTTAAAATTTTGAATGAAGTATGAGCAAATCTGTTTATTTAACTTTTACTAAAGGTTAATTTTTAAAGTGATTATAAGGTACCTTTCAAATAAAGATAATTATAGAATTATTATAGTATTAAAAACACATTATATTTTAAAAAATTTATGTTTTTTAATCATAAAGTAAAACTAAACAAATTACGTTCAATAAATATGTTAAATTTACTAAATTATTATTTTAAACAGATTTAAATAAAACTTTTATTAAGTAATTAAAATTAAAAAAATGGAAAAGCAACAAAACTTTCTATTAAAGCTTACGTTTTGTTTTTCTCTTTTTCTTATGTAAACTAAAATAGCAAGCTAAAGATGGAAAGTTCAGTTCATTAATTTTTTACATATTTTTCATTAATTATAAAAAGCAGTTTACTCTTAATTGCCTAAAAAAAATTAACTTTACTCTGAATGGATGTTTTATAATCGTTCTCTATCAAAAGCAACTGTTTTATACATAAAATTTTGCAAATATTTTTAAAATTAAATTTCATAAAAACATTCAATTTTTTAAACAAATGTTCAGTTAGTAACCAAAGGACAGTTTTGTCACGTAATTATGTAAAAAAGCAAATTCTTTTTAATTTATTTTATTGTCCTGAAGAAAACTGAGGAAGCTAAAATAAACTGAAAAGTATTTATATACTACTGCATTTAAAACTGAAATATTTTTTTCTATTTTTAATAAAAAAGCAAAAGAAAAATTAAAAAACAAAAATAAAATATGGACGCTTTTATTGGGCACCCATACTGCTCCAGCGGTACTAAAACAGGTCTTAATTGATTTATTGTAACTTACGGTGAAAACTTACAAGAAATAAGATTTAAAAAAAAGAAAAACAAAGTGACTAAATATAATTTAAAGAAAAAATATTTCTAATAAAGTACAGCAATTATTTTATATTGCTGTATTA